TATTTTTATATAACAAATTGACTTTTACATTTTAAGAATATGATAAACTTTGAAGTGAATATGAAACTCATTGGTATGCATAGTTCTTTCTTATTTATGTATAAATGAAAATTTGTACTGTCCTAAATAACAGTTGAGGAACTTCTACTTGTGAAATTATTTTCCTTTGGCAAAGTGGATGGAAAAGATTTGGGAAAAAAAAAAAAAAACACAAGTGCTGGCACAATGGACAGGAATGTTGGAAAAAATTTTTAAATGTTGGCATAGGAATTCTTTAAAAATTCTAACTTACTCACATGTGAAATGAAAGTAAAAAAGCATCTGTCCTATTTTATGCACACTGACTAAATAAAAATGAACAATTATATTTAGCAAAGTTTAAAGCTCTTTTAAACTAAGGTATTTTGTCTGACTTTTGGCAATCTTTATGTTATTTGTTCCACTGAATTAAAATATTATGTTTGAGTGCAGACATACTTTGAAAAGCAGAAATTATAGAGAGAGGAGAACATTCTCTTTTCCAATTCTGATGACCCTAGATGAAATATGAAATTTTTGAGAGACTAAACACTTCTAATATACTTGAGAAGAAAACTTTGGACCTTGGCCTCATCTGTCATTCAGCCTGTGTATTAGTGAAATATTTCAAGAACCTATGGATGTGTCTTACCACAGCATCTTTTGTTCTGCCCAAGGTTGAAAGTATATAAATTAGGTTTTTAAGGATTACAACCATAATTTTTTTTTAATTTTCTACATTTAATGTTTTTAATTCTACTACCAGCTGTGGTTATATTTTCAAAGAAAACAAATAAGAAGCTTAGAGCAATATGAAATTCTGTTTTGATTTCTTCAGAAATTGGTTTAAATCAAAGGCCAACGTAACATTTTCATATTGTTGTCTAAGATGCTTTTATTATGTCTTGGTGCTGGCAAAAACTATTTGGACCTCTTCTTCAGGTTTTACTAAAGCCATGTGATTATATATTGGGAGAATATATTGTTTTTCATGCATCAAATTATTAAAACAAAGAACTCAACACATGGTTTCATAATTGTGACTGAAATAGTCCATAGAGTACCTAATTTCCTTTGATCCTTTATGTTGAACAGTTCAGGCCGTGGTACTTGCCTTGATAATGAGCCTCCCAAGCGTGACTTTCTTTATCCAGCTGTGGCCCCAGGTCAGGTGTATGATGCTGATGAGCAATGTCGTTTCCAGTATGGAGCAACATCCCGCCAATGTAAATATGGGGTAAGAAGTCTTAATCCTTATGTTTAGTCATTTATATGTGTTCTTTCGTGACACAAATGTTAAGAGGGAATTATGAAGAACGTAGTTTGCATCCAGTAACATCATTGATTTAAATATAGCTATTGACAGTGCACTTTTTCTATTATTTGTATAATATTTATTTCTAAATATTTGAATAATCCTAAATTAAGCAAGTTTCAAATTTCTTATGAGTGATGCAGGTAGAATTTAATAACTTCTAATATGTTTATTCTTTAAATCTTAAGTTTATGATGCCAACTTTATTTTATCTTTTGAAATGTTAATGGTTTTAAAATCCCTCACCACCCTCCTTTTCTAGTATTCTTATAATTGGGCTAAAGGGCATTTTTACATTGGCTAGGTGCCTTCACTTTAATTCATAGTTGCTAGTACTGAGTCATTTCATGTTGCTTCATCCACTGCCCACATTTCAACACAACAACCAAGTGGGAACAAGATGACATTAGCCCAAATAATGAAACAGAAAAATTTCTGTGGAAAAAAAAAATGTAGGCATCATAATTTACTTTGCACATCTACCTAAAAATGACAGAGTGTCTTTATCAGAAAATATATAAAAATCCCTTTTAAGTCTCATAGAGAAAGATTTTAATGTCTGGTAGAGGGACATGTGCATAATAGGAACAGACTATAAGCATGTTGAGTGAAAAAATAGGATTTTAAAATGTCAAATTGTTTGCCAAAAATATTTAGGTTTGAAAAATAAGTTTAAAGGATTGGTTCCTATTTTTATGCAAATAGTCTTTTAAATCCCTTTTAAAAATAATAGCAATAAAAGGAATTAAGTTTTAAAGTAATTAAGACTAAACAATATACTCATTGTACTGAACCAGTTACTCCTCTTGGGAACAGTACCAAGGGAAGTGATTTTTTTTAAAAGAAAGACTGTGTGTGATTATCTGAATATGCAGAGCCCTGAGTAAAATTTTGGCCTTTCCTTTTTCTCTGTAAAGAGACTTCTACTCTTATTTCTGTACGGTTCTAGTTTCTTTTGTTCTTAGGTTGTTTATCCATCAAAACAGTGAGTCAAACTTTAATCACAGTCTTTGTATATACTTATAGATAAATAGGTTGAAATTCATGATCAAATTTGATTAGAGATTTTCTGTCAGATTATTCTTATCCGTCTCTCATTTCTTTGTTAGCAAATGAAATCATTAATCTACATTTTAGTTTTTCTATTAGAAACAGGGTTAAAGAAATTAATAAAAAATTGACTTGATTCATCTCAGTGTATTTGTATATCTCATTCAGCTCAGACCAATTAATTTGAAATCATATAAACAGTACAAAATTGTATATTTTCCATTATGTTCTTCATATTCTGCTTTTAGATTCTTAATATGTTTACAATGACTTCTGTAATAGATATAAAATAAAATTGGGAAACTTGGGGAGAGACACTAGCATCTTACAGACCTATACAATTTCATGTATTAAAATGGTTTCTCCTGACTCATTGACTACGTGAAAATGCTTATGATATTTTTTTAAAAAGTGCTATATGTTGCTAGCAAAGTTAATTGAGTCATAATAGAATCTTTATAGTCACTCCCACCTCTTAAAGTTGTGCCTGAAAAATTGGGTTTACACATTTGGTAACATCTAAACCCACACTGGGTTTTATCTGTTGAATCCCTAAGGTTTTAAACAATTCTGAATACTACTTCAGTAAACAATCATGGCTTTTCTTTTTTTTTTTTTGAGACAAAGTCTCGCTTTGTTGACCGGGCTAGAGTGAGTGCCATGGCGTCAGCCTAGCTCACAGCAACCTCAAACTCCTGGGCTCAAGCAATTCTTCTGCCTCAGTCTCCCAAGTAGCTGGGACTACAGGCATGTGCCACCATGCCCGGCTATTTTTTTCTATATATTTTTAGCTGTCCAATTAATTTCTTTCTATTTTTGGTAGAGACGGGGGTCTCGCTCTTGCTCAGGCTGATGTCGAACTTCTGAGCTCAAACAATCCTCCTGCCTCGGCCTCCCAGAGTGCTAGGATTACAGGCATGAGCCACCACACCCAGCCCCAGTCATGGCTTTTCTAACCCTCACTTGGGTGAGGCAAAGACATAAAGTGTAACCATAATACTTGTACCCTCATAATACCCTGAAATAAAAAAAAAAAAAAAAACAATTATGGCTTTGAAAGTTGGAGTCCAGTCAGGAAAGCAAGGCATGCTTCAGGTGGTAGCTAAAGGGAATAACACACCAGCCCTAGTTTAGATAGCTGTCTGAGTGGAGCATGCTGAGATGAACACTAAATACAGTTGTTATAGACTTAAAAGAACACTGTGGCCTTTTCAGGAGGGGATACATCTGGTGTTAAATAATCATGAAATGATTCCTCTTTTAACTAGCATGTCTCTAATGATGTCAGGGAAGATTTTAAAACAACTATAGAATGATCCATAACTACAGCAGTGATCAGCTTTCCATTTCTTCTACTTTGGTCTTCACATACTCATTGTTGGGCTACCAATGATTACATCTGCAGTTATGAAAAATCTTGCCTGAATTCTTAGTGAGTAGGTTCATTAATATATATGTTAATTACATTTGGGGACTTATGTGAAAATTTTTCTATTTTATTTTACTCAGGGCAACATTTTCAACTATTATCCTTGTATATCATTTATTTTTATTTTCTGTGTGTTCTTAAATTCCAGTTGAAGTTGTGAGGAGATTGTAATGGTTATAAATACAAATAACAAAACAGTACTATACAAGATACAGAGTAATATAGTTGTGTAATGTAGTAATCTATAAGTAACATATAATTTCTGGTATTTACATAGTAACTTTTTCCTGAGATTCTTCAGAATGCATTGATAAAAATCATAATTATTTTATTATATTTTATAAATTAGGAAACTAAAAATACAGAATGTGATTTACGTAGTCCAAGGTTAAAAAAAAAGGCCTATATCTGTCAGTTCTGTTTTCTGCTAGGTATAATAGTTATGTTAAAAAAAATAAAAGTAGCAAATGTATTTTGTTTCGGAAGATAGTTGTTATTCGGTTTTCATCAGGTAGTGTCTACTACTAAAAATCTTCCCAAAACTGCCCATCTTGTCTGAGTCTTTTTTGGTAAAAAGGTGATTAGAAGACATTTTCTAAACTTATTCTTTAGGGTCATAAATTCTCAGGTGTCTGAAACCCCGAGTCTTCGATTTGAGTGGATTTATTTTCTTTTACCTTATATAAAGAGGTAGAACTTCTTTAAGGTAAGATGCAAGTACATACAAGCAGCATGCAAAGGTATATTCCTATGAGATCATCTAAAAATATCTCCTAGCTATGTTAGTAGATTTCTAAGGGGACTTGAATGATTCCTGGATAAAAATATATTACAAATAAAACAGCAGTATCAGTATGTCCAAGAAATGTTTCTTTGCCTGGTTGGAGTAACAAATTCTTTCTTTCCTGTAAAACTCTGTAGAATTTATTGTCTCACTTTTCTTCCATTTTCCATTAGTCTCCTTGTTCTTATTAGAAAAGAATTATAAAAACTGAATTAACAAAAAGCATGTTGCAGTAATAACAGTAAGTTTAAATTTGGGAAGGAAGTTACTAATGAGCCTATATAATTCAGGGACTGTGGGTAATCTTTTGACTACTTCCCGAAGAGCATAGATTAATTCAGGGCTGAGCTTCAGGCTTAGCTCTTTATTTCTTTGTCATGTCATTTTAAATCATATCCCAAATATTATTTCCAAATATACTTAATGGTTTAGTATAGGAAAACAATATCCAGTACACAATTTACTGTTAACCATCAAGAGATGATTGTTCATCTACAGATAGATTTAAGGTCACAAAACCAGAGAAATTTTGTAGACATAGCTTTGTTTAATTTATGGAGAATTTTTGTTATCTATGAAGTTTGTTACTGTTTACATGGACTTAAGAGCACATAAAATATATAATAATGTGTTGTACATTGTTATTGTTTATTTTAATGTAGAACTGAATAATGTTTTATCAATAAACCATGTATTCTGAACCATAAATGGGAACACATGATCTAATACTTGGTTTCACAAACAGAATATTTTAAACACATTGACTTCCACACTAGAAAAAAATTTTTTCCCTGGGGCCACAGTGTTTTATTATGAA